ATGTGCTATGCCTGTCCTTTTTTTCCTATATATACATATTTACTATATTACTATATATATATATATATATATATATATGTATATATATATATATGTATGTATGTATGTATGTATGTATGTATGTATGTATGTATGTATATAGAAAGAAGAGATTTCCCTGGTCATTTCATGCAAGGTAATGCAAACACAAAGTTATCTTGAAGTAGCATAAATGTCAAAATAGTGAATACTAGTTTCCTTATGAGGATTTTAAAAGGACTACATAGTGATGGAATCAATTATACAAGCCTAATGAATTGATGAAATAGCAAATAAGTATGTTCTTTGAGGTGGTGATGGCATACTAGCTGGTAGAACTACAATTAGGTAAGCATCTACAATGAGGAGTTATGTTATTGACAAATGTTCTGTATATTTCAGGAATCCTGCTACATTTCTTCATGCATATACATGCCTTCCTCTTGCATATTCTACAAGGCAAGCTGCCAGTGCTATTTTACAAGATGTTGCTGATTCAGGGGTTTTGTTTGCATTGTTGATGTGTAAGCACAAGGTTTGTTCAAATTTGTTAAAATATTTGGAGGTGTTGTTTGAGTAATGGGACTGAAAGAAATTAAACAACAAATTATTGTACTTTCTGAAGAGCCTATTGGTACCTACTAACACTAAGAAAATAGAGAGCCTATAATACCTATTAACACAGCCACTTGATTTAATCAGTTTAATCACTTAAGGTAATGATCCTAACATCTAGTTTGGTTCATTTGGCAAAATAAATAATGGTTTCAGTTGTCAAAGTATAGAATTTATGTGAGCATTAGTCCTTGTGCCTCCATTTCTCAGTTTGATGCTATTTACAGTTTTTCGAGTGTAGAGATCCATCAGCTAGCATTTTCTTCTTATAGAGATCTGTGGAAGGACTAATCAAGGATTAAAGTGTGTTGTGCTTTCATCCTGCCAGTTGGTCACTGATAGGGTACATTATACAAAATTATTGATTACAGAAGTGAAGGTGTTAGGTTCCTAGAGCTAGAGTAGAAATATACTAGAAATAAAATCTTTTTTATTTCTTAAATGCCTTATAAATCTTTTGAAGAAAGTAGATGTTTTTATTGGCTAAGGAAAGCTCATATACACATTGTGTAGTTTTGTTCATACAAATTTGTTAATGAAACCGCATAAAATAGTTTTTCCTCGATATATGTCAGCAGTTAGAAATGCATTAAAGATTTTGGATAAATCCTGAATGATTTCATTATAGAGGTTTAAGAATTAGTAGACAGTTGGAATTTTCACATATGGACCTGACCAAGTGATGTCACTACTATTTCATCATTTTTCAGTCTTCAATGAGCTGTTCTGTAGTTGCATTTTAGAATGTTAATCATTCTTGTAATTTTTGTTAGTTGCAACTCAATCATAATTATTTCAGCTGGAATTCTCATCAGAAATTCATGATCTTTGAAATTTTTGATACAAATACTAATCTGAGCAATGTCAACTTCGTTTTGAGCGTTAACTCTAGTGTTAAAAGAGGTGAAGCCTTAGCATACATTAGATTTATGAATATTATATCTTTTTTTTCCTGTTCTTTTGGTTTGTTGCCTGTTAATGACACATCATGATAAACTACAGGTTGTTAGTCTAAGTGGAGCTCAGAAGGCATCTCTGCACCCTGATGACATGCTTTTGCTTTCCAATTTTGTAATTTCTACAGAATCATTCAGGTATTCAACTGACTTGGTTTGGAAACCATGTATAGTCAACTGTCAAATTACAGTAATGGTAAATCAGGTAAGGACAATGTTCAATTATAGCATATTAGGAGAGGCAGTTGACCTAGCTATTTGACACCTGAACTTCATGATTAGCGAGTTTACAAATGTAAGAATATGAAGCATATCCAATTAGCATATATATAAAGTTGGGTGCATGTATATAAATTAATTAATTAAAGGAAGAAGAAATATTAGTTTGCAAAGGAGCTAACGCTTATTTGGAACATTCACATGCCCACAGTGTCTGCACAAACAGATGAGATAGATTGTTAAAAATATGCTACATCAAACTGTTTGTACCCTATTCAGCATAATGTTCTGAAGATTCATGGAAATTGTCTTTCCTACTGAATAAGTGTCACTTTTATAGGGTGGTCTGGTGCACAAGTCTCATGCCAGGTCTTGGGAGGCTTAATGTGCAGTCTTATTCCCATAAGTTAGGTGGTTATTTCTGTGACTTGAACTTTGATTATGCAAGTCATGAAGGAGCAACTTTACCATGGTTCCAAGACTTGTTCTCACATAAATTTTACCTTAATGTTTTATTTTATTTTTCATATATCCTTGTTAAAGTTTTCTTCTCTAACTGAAGCTTTAAATATGAGACAACTGGCAAATTTGAAACAGATAAAATCTGTAATTTAATCATCAAATTTAGACATGGTTCAGGCTTAATTAATCCTTGTTTTCTGATGTTATTTCCTGAGATTGCTCTCTACTTACTCATTTTTCTTCTACATATTAAGATCTTGTTATCTGGTTAAATCCATCCTACCAGCCAAGAGAGGCAGTACTTGTATTGAACCTTCACTTCATGAATTCAGTTTTACCTTTTTAAATTCATGTGAATAAATCATGTTTTAAACTATCAGTCTGGCAACTTTTAAATGTCTAGAATATATCCACTTAATAAGCCAAGCAACTTGTACTTTTTAATCTGTTATTCACACTTATGTGAATCTTCTTTCTTCAGAACATTGTTGCATCATTTTGCTGCAGTCTGGGAAACATCCTTCTAGTTTCATGAGTTGGTCCATTCTACCTTTGGGTTATTCAATTAATGGAACGTTATGTGTTATTTGGCTTATTGTGGACTAACTTATACATTGATGATCGTGCATGGTATATGCAATTACATTATAAAGTCATTTCCTTTTGTGAATTGTAACTGATCCTGTATTCAATTTTTTTTATACCTTTTAGTTCTCCTAATCTCCTAGGTGCTTTTATACTGAGATGTGCATGCACTCTTCCACAGGAGTTTTCTCCATGCATTGAGATCAGCAAAAAGTTATTGTTTATATCCTGTTGAATTGTATGTACTTTTTCTCAAGAACAGCATGAAATTATCTGATTTGAATGTTAATTTTTGTCTTGTACAAGATATAAGGTTTTCTTTTTAGAAAATTTTGCTTATAACATTTTCTTGAGCAAATCAAAGAATTGCATGTGCTTCCAGAGCCGGATTGTTCACATTTGTAGGATGATGAAGTCATACTGTGTATGTTGTGGACGTTTAAATGGGTATTCTCTTATATGCATTTTATTTGCACTATGCAGCACTTCTGAATCTTTCTTATGAGTTGATAAAGTGTTTAACACTTTTGGGATGACAGAATCATAGTAGCATAGAGCCATAGAGCATGTTAAATCATGAACTTTTAAATGTGTATTCTCTAATGTGCATTTTATATGCACCATGCAGGACTTCTGAATCATTCTCACCTATTTGCTTACCGAGATACAATCCAATGGTGTTCCTTTATGTTTATGTCCATTTTCTTGATGTGAGTGATATTTGTCCCTATCAACTTCAATCTTGTAATCTTTGGATTTGCTATATGAGGAAATATACTTCTGATCAAGACAAGTTTTTTATTCAGAAATGTACCTTTTTATGACTCCCTGGAACTTTCTCCGTTCTGCTCTCAGCAATTTGTCATTGTATTACAGGTGCATACATGCTTGATGTTACTTTCTACCAGTTCAGATTCCTTCTATCATCTCAAAGACTGCAGGTGAGTTGCTACACAAAGAAAAAGGACAACTAAAATAAGATCAAGAATATAGCAATCTTTTTACTTTCTAGTTTCTACTATTACAGCACAATCTAGGGATAAAATTTTGCAATAGTGCTGCAAATAACTTTGGTTTTGTTGATAATACTAAGGATTCACATTGAGACTGTGCTTGTGAAGTCAAATGTTCTCTCTGAAGTTCAAAGATCCTTGCTGCATAGTGGTCTACATGTTGAGGACCTCCCAGTTGATTTTTCTCTTCGATCTGGATCTCTGCCTCATCACATAGCTATGGAAAAGGCAATACCTGATATTTCATCTTCTCATGTCGGCATTGGTGGCCCTTCTGGACTTTGGCATTTCATATATAAGAGTGTCAACCTTGATCAATATGTATCATCAGGGTTCTCCTCACCATTAAGCAGTTCTGCTCGACGAAAAAGGTTTTGTCACTGGCTCTAAGTAATATTTGATAACTTCTAGACCTTTTTGTTCCTATTAGATGTATGTACCTGGTAGATCCCTCAATAATGAATCTATGGGACTTGCAGATTAATTAGGGCATACCAGAAGCTGTATTTTTCAATGCATGACAAACGAACTGGTCCGCATAAAACACAGTTCAGACGAGATGAAGATTATGGTGAGTTTTTTGGAGTGCTAGTAGGAACATGATTACAGCCTTTAAAATGTCGAAACTGCAGGAACATTTGTATGTTGATCTTGTTGATATATTTTTACCATAAGTAGTTCTTGTTTTCTGTTTCCCTGGTTTTGCTCGCTTTAGTTTTTGGAAAGTTATTTATAATTTTCATTAAACTCTTAATGTGGCAGTTCTCCTATGCTGGATCACTCAAGATTTTGAACTTTATGCAGCATTTGATCCACTTGCAGAGAAGGTGAGTTCTTTCGTTTGGATCTATCGCATGATAACTATTTAAAGATAAAAACTTTGGCTGTCTGAGTAGCTTATTTCCACCCAAAATGTGTATTCCATCTAAAATGTCTATGGTATGCTATATAATCTGAGGTTTAGCTATATAAAATTGGAGGTTCATCAAATTAATCCGAGGTTTAGCTATAATCTGTGGTTTAGCTATATAAGATGTTTTTGGATGCTTGATAAATGGTTGAAGAGATCCATCAAATTAATGGAAGAAGTCAGTAAGGTGGAAGTGATCCATCAAATTAATGGAAGATGCTGGAAAGGTGGAATGGCATGGACAATCACTATGGCCTATCTTTTACCCAGTTCTAAGATTATAGGCGTGCACAATTTTATCTGTGAGAATTTCATTTTGAATCAGACAAATCCTTGGATTATAATATGAACTGCCTTCTAAATCTCCACAGCACATTTCTCTTGCCACTACTTTGCTTTAAGCATCTAGGCAATTTAGCACCTGTATGGGCCCCTGAGGTTTATCTTGCAGTGAATATTGTAGCTATGCAGAACATTGGAATCTGTCAAACTTCAGACTGCTTACCTTTAAAATTATAAAGGTGGATGTAAGCTGTAATGCCTTGGTAAGCAGAAAAGCTTCAAGCCCCATTGACTGTTGTTGGCCGAATCCATCTGTAAATAATAGTTGTGGTAGTCAAAGAAGATAGTCTTCATAATGGATGAATGTATACCTCTGAGGTTTATTGATTCTAATGGTCAAATGAATTGCTGCCTTTTGGTTTTATATGATGATAGACACCAAAGATATTCTTTTGTTTGTTTTTTTTGTACCATTTTCAAGTTGATGAATGAGGTTCAATGTAACAGTCTGTCCTAGTAATAGATTATGTTTATGATCGAAAAATACTAAAGATGGTTCCATCAATGTCTGTACGGGGTTTATAGTGGTGTTTAACACCGACCAACTTTCGTGGCTTTTCCAGTTATCAGATGAACAGATAAATGAAATTTTAAAATGCCTGTGAGACCTTTGCTCCTCATCATACTGTGTTTCTAACGATGACTATCATCTTTTGACATCAGCATAACAATTTCATTAGCCAAATTCATATTCAAGTTATTTTGGGCGATTTGTGTTCCTGATACTATATCGAAACTGACCTGGATCGTGATGTATTTGCAGGCTATTGCAATAAAGACGTGTAACAGAGTCTGTCAATGGGTAAGAGACGTTGAAAACGAGATCTTTTTGTTTGGAGCAGCCCCCTTCTCATGGTGATTCCTAACCAATACATACATATACTCCCCTCCGGTATGCTTAATATTCATTTAGAACCTTGCAGTCCATATCCTTTATTGAGAGGTGCAGCTCTCTATTTCCTACAGCTGATAGTCATACGCAGTCTCTCGGATTTGTTGCGATTGCATTATCATATCGTCATCAGCGATCACTGTACAAAATAATATTGAGAAACGAAAGAAATAATTATTTTAAGTAATAAGAAATGTTATTTGCACTGCAAACTATTTTGTTGAAAATGATTTTAGCAGTCAAGTGTTTTTGCATATGCTTATCCCTTTATGGAACTTGCAATGACAACAAGAATATAAATTTTGCTATGGCAAAAAATAATTTTAAATGATGGAAATATCTTGTGGCTGTAAATGTATCTCATCTTATTTTTAGCTGTATTATTAGTGTAGTTGTGTGTTCTTTTCCATGCAATGACAAATCTACATGTCAACTTTTAGCCTCAAAATCATAGGATCATTACATGTAAGTGAGAAAAATCCTCTTTTGTGGCAATGAATTGTGTTTCCAGCAATAAAATTATTGACGATGGGAGACATGCTAAGATGTTTTAGTAAACAAATGATGATTTAGCTAGTAGGGAGTCATACTTTTAACGATGAAGCTATGATTTATCTCCACGGAAATGGCTTTTGGTGACGAAAGTGATATGATATCTGAAAGATGAGTTTTTGGTAACATTTTTAGTGACAACAAATGACCTGACCATTTTTCCGCTCAACACTAATCAACCTCCATACTGTCGTACACTTAATAAAACATTTACTCGAACTATAGACCAACTCGACAACAAATGACCTGACCATTCAATCATGCAGGGTTTGACCAACCGCAGGATAAAAAGGTGTTCCAGCATCACGACAAAAGAGGTTATCAAAGGTCAAAGCACTTACGAGCGAGTGGGACCTATCTGTTTTATATCATGGTCTTTAAGGGAAACAACCAGGAAGCTTCCTTGAACATAAAAGGGTTTGACTTCTTCCAAGTGTTTTGTTTTCATTGAAATTATTTTTACCATAGTAGTTTTATAAATATTTAGCTAATGCTTGGACAGAGTAGTTCGACCTGAATGGAATGCCAGATAGTTAAAGTCAAATGGATGCCTTCACCACTCATTTGCATAATAATCGAAAATTCTCCCTCCAAGAGATTAGGGTATGACCTATCCACACAAACAAATCGATGCTTCCACCACTCATTTGCACCATCAGAGTCTCACTCAGAGAGTTGATAGAGGCGTTAGAGGTGGATGAGAACACCGTCCGTTCTTTTACAATGTTCAAAGTATTGGAGGAGCTCAAAGTTAGGATTAAGATGATGTTAAAGAACGATATCGTATAATTTAAAATTAATTATTTTAAATGGTATGCAGGCAATCATCGATACATCATTCATATCTGATGGTGATGTGTCATATCTATCAAACGAACACTCAAATCTCATCCAATTGACACATTATCTAAGCCTCAATCCTATAATATTATCGGTGTGGCACTAATAAGAATATCAACATAGCTCCATGTTGTCAGTCACATAACGTTAACAAGAAAGTTGACTCAATAAGTTATTGTTTATCTTTTAGAATTAATATATGATTTTACGATCTTAGTAATGATACTTTATAGTCGTTTTTTATATTATGTCATCTCAATCTAATGATTTGTTAAATTATAAAAAAAAATCCTTTCTTAGCGACAAACGTTTTGTTGACTAAATACATTAGTTGAATCCACTTAAGCATTGGGGTATTATTGGATATAGGTTTTACATGATCTCAGGTTAAATCTCTTAATTTCCAAAGACAATATTTTGGGATAAACCTCCATCGCATTATAAATCCCTGTACGCGTCGGCGGACGATTACAATCAACATGTCTTCACACATCGACATCACTGACGTCCAATTTGTAGTGGAACAGCACGGCGGCTGTGGTGAACGGTGTGCTCGATCGCGACGGGGGAATAGATGCACGATGCTGGGTTCCTCCCGCGGGGCCGAAACCGAGGAAAGTGATGGGAGTGGGTGATGGAGACTCTTCATTTCTGCTACCTTTCTAACGAATCAGATGTCTGCCCTGCTCTGGCGATGACGACGATGACTGGTCCACCATTAGCTTTATCTCGTCCTCCCCTCCAAGATAACGCTGGGAGCACTACCACCCGAGCAACAAGGTTCATGGCCGCCAGCCAGAGGCTCTTGGATCAGCAGACCAATTCCTTATCATACCAACCGCTGCTTGCTACTTTTCATTATCTTTGCTAACCTTATGCATCTTCTTCTTTCTCATTGGAGTGAGAGAAACTGTCGAGGCAGAGAGAATGATTTTTCAGTGAAGAAGAAGTAGAACGAGCTTTGATATATGTAGACAACAGAGGAGGGGACTTTGACTTTCTACAATAGATGACTGATCTTTGTCACATGAAACACGGATGATGGATGCAGGGTAGCATATCAAATTTACATAGATGTAGATGTAGCATATCAGAATTCATGACAAGGGAAAGCAAGAAGAGGCATGGGATTCAGCATCCTTGTGTCTTCGTCATCTACTCCCCACATGGAACAAGGCATTGGAGGGCAGTCTTGCTCTTCTTCGAAGCTCAACCCACTGGCCGATGCCGATGCAGCTATCTCATTCCAGATCTGATCCATGGTGTATCCTTTCGCGACTTCATCGTTCACCCCAAGCCCTGAGATCAAGGAGTTGCCCCCTGCAACGCTCCCACCGCCAGGCTTTTCGATCCCAAGTTGCGGTCCATCAACGGACGACGAAGAGGGCGAGGGGCATGCGCTCCTGTTCCGTTCTTGTGCCTTCCTTCTCATGTGCGTCCTCCAGTAGTTCTTGATCTCGTTGTCCGTGCGCCCTGGGAGCCTCCGAGCAATGCGAGACCACCTACGAGCAAACCTGTCAGCCTTGAAATTTGGGATCGAGAGAGGAGAGATCGGTCGGACCTATTGCCCCACTTTGCATGAAGGTCGAGCACAAGGCGTTCTTCCTGGGGCGTCAGGCGGCCGCGTTTGAGGCCGGGGTGAAGGTAATTAACCCAGCGCAACCTGCAACTCTTGCCTGTCCTGTTAAGGCCTACAACACCAAGCAGGTTAACGCACAACACGAGATTGCCCTTCTGGGCCTTCCTATCCCCCGCCACCGCTCAAACCTGACACCTTGGCTAAGATGTCCCAACGACGTTCACCGAACAAGCGCACAAACCATACCAGTTGGAGGTCCTCCTGCTCCGTCCACGGCCCTTTCCTCGGCTGCGTCGCTTCCATCGCAGGCGGCACCATCACCGAGTTGCGCACGTACGCGCTCGTACTTCCCCCCCTCTCTTCTTCTGTCGATTCCCGAGGCCTTTGGTCGGAGTCATTTATAGTGCTGCAAATATGTATCCAACATATAAATCAATAATAATAATAATAATAATAATAATAATAATAGTAATAATAATAATAATAATAATAATAATAATAATAATAATAGTAATAATAATAATAATGTATGAGGCTGTCAATATATTTTTGGATTATAAGTATATCATCGTAACATTCTGATTTAGTTTCGTATACTATTTTGAATTTTAGTTTAAATATTTTAAATCAATAATTTTGGTATAATAAAATTAATAATTAATTATCCTATACAATTAACATTAGAGTCGATTTAGTATATAAAAAATAGCTGTCTGTTATTTAAAAGAGATTATAATATTTTAATTTAATTTAAACTCACATCGAAAGTTTATTAAAATTAAGATCGACAAGTGATTGATGGATTTATTGTAAGTCACTTTATAATTTATCCAGGGTAATAATTGTAATAAGACTCGATGTCCCAGATAAATACCTCACACCTCTGTTGACTTGATAATGCACCTGGTCAAAGCGGACCGGAACGCCTACCAAGGCACATTAACACCCTACTCGGGCTTGATCCCTCATGTCATGCCAACGGCAATGTCAGACGCTACTAGAAGTACGATCCTGCTCCCTACGGGCAGGCACATCAGGCAACGGTAATTCTCACTATAAAAACCCTCGCGCTTCGAGGGAAGGGGGAAAAAAGAAGAGAGAACTTAGCTAAAAAAACTCCACGACTATCCACTAACTTGATCGTCGGAAGGGTCGCGCCGAGCTCCCCAACCCGACCTTTGTGTAGGTGCGAAGGCGGAGGTCACCCACTAAACGCACAGGCGAGGAGTTCTTTCCCGGAGGGAATAGCGACCCCGTCCCAATCGGAACACCGTAATCGACCACCTCAACAGTCTCGAGGAACGTCCTAGGAAGATCCCCCATCATCCAGACCAGAACCAACCCACGTCGACCCCAAGGCCACAGCTTAAAGTTGTTTACACCAACATCCCTTGATTAACACAACCAGTGAAAGCTGTAGTATTAGTTCATCTCATCATGAGCCCGTGGATCGTTTGATTCATTTTTGTCCGATTGAGGTCTCTTCATCTTGCATGATGTGGTCATCTTTAAACAGTAGAGCCGCTTACTGCTCGCATCGAGGAGTCGATCGGCAGGTGCTGCCGTACACACTTTGCCCACGCACTGTGCGGACTGCAGCGAGCATCCTCGACGACGAAGAACAGCGCATGCAGAAGCGATAAGAAGTGCTGCAGAGTGGTACGAACCCCATCGAGGCTCCACTTGCGGAAGTGCGTGGCGGCAGCCAAAAGCTGTGGCAGTACTGCGGCGTGGACGCCACCACTCGCCATCACCTTCAGCGTTTTGGCCTTCCTCGCCGACTTGCCGTGGCTCTACCCCGACCATTGCAGTCAGCACGAGTTTTTGTTGGTGACAGACAAGATAAGCTTTTTTACTTACTCTTCTTTTTCATGTATATGCTTCATAGAGAGTTAGCAAGTGCATCTCTTTTGAACTGTTGCCTTTGCTGCAGGATAGAGAGAAATGGGTACAAGTGAAGGAAAGAGACATCAATTCTTTCTGTCTCCTTCAATCTAAACCTTGCTTTGCTGCTAACGCAATGGTGTGGAGTCAGGTCAGGGATGTGAAAACGAATGCCACGGCAATAGTTCCTCGATGGGGAGAGATTATTCCTAGAGATCACGGCATGGGAAGCTGCATTGTCACAAGGCGTTGACTCCGCCAAACCCACTACGGAGACAAACGAGAGCATATGCACAGGAAAAGGCGACGAGATCTCGTAGTCTTCTATCCTTAATAGTTGGTGAGCACATCCCCACTGACGTGATGGCATAGTCCACGGAAAGCCGTCAAGTCTGTGTTCCTTGGGAAGAGTCTGGGCGTGCTTTGGCCGTCGTCAACGATCTGCCGTCTCAGACTGAGATGCTTTGGCTCTTCTGCTTCAATTGCATCCACACGACGATCGAAGTAAGCAGCGATGCTTCAATTTTGGTGTCAATCCTTCCACATGAGATCGAAAACAAAGAGCTTATTTGTTTCAAAAAAATTGTATGACATTAAATTACGTACGTACATAACGTTCACGCATCGTACGTGTATTCATCTATCAACCCATCGGATGTCTCAATAGAGATGCTTGTGATCATTTGCTAACCAAGTTTACTGCGCAAGTGCAACACAGGCAGCGAGTAATTGAAGAACTGGTGGCAAACACTAGCATCTAGAAATGTAAGAACGATTCAGCAATTCCTTAACAGCATCATCCCTTCGCTTCATTAGATCGATGTAGAACATGTGAATTAGAATGCTACAAGAAGCCAATATGTTGATGACACTACTTTTAGAGCATTAATTAAAGACACAGTATTACATCACGCCGATTTGTCAAGATGACTTGATCTGGCTACAACATGGCAGCAAACTTGGTGGTAATATACAGATTCTCAAAGAAATTTTGGTCAACGAACAAAATGCCCAGTCGCCAAACTTTTGCACTGCTGTTGACTGCATAGCACTAATCAGAATGAGGTTGATTAATTGGGCTTAATCGGCACGGTTCAGAGGCAGTGCCAGATGCTATCTCGGTTGTCTGATCATAATGAGTTGATGGGCGTAAGTGGGCTTCTTGGGGTTGGCATAGGTGCACAGACATGCTGCTTTTCTTCAGCTTCTCTTAGGTTGCTGTCCCGCCTATCATGCTTAATTGGGTCTTCCAACTGTGTCCTTAGTTCTTCAATGGATGCTAAACTCGGAACATTGAGAGAACGCTTTGTGGGTGTAAGACTAGTTGGATTGTCAACCTGCCAGGAAGCAATTTAACATCAGAGAACCTACTTTACTAGAAATTATCAGACCTCTTAACTTATTAGCTCAAAGATTTTAAATCCAAACTTCAGATTTTAGGAAACTAACGAAAATAGAAGCAATGACATGCAGACAGGACTAAATGACACTGGTTATTAGTGAGCGTTCACGATGAACACTTAGCAGCAGTTAATATCTTGTACAAATATGTGAAAACAGAGTAGAAAGAAGGATTAAACGACAAACTGGTGCATAATATGAAAACACTGCACAGAATTTGAATAATGTATGTCTAATCCAATCTAATGCCATGTTTAATCAATCCTATCATCTGAGTCAACCAATGAAAAGTAATTTTACGACCTCTCACAGATTTTTCTCTTCATCTGAAAAACTACATCCAATTTCTCTCCATTTCATATCATAAACAATGACTTAATTGATTAATTATTTAGGAATCTGCAATATTTACTTCCGAATACTTTTTTTCAACTATAAAAAACTAATCTGCATAACACTGCCACACAACTAGAATTTCATAAAATGAGTACTCCAGATATCATATAATAAAAAGCAGTTAATGCATCGCTTGCCGTGTCAACATAAGTTCACTTTTTTTCAAATTTAAATTTGGAATGACACTAGCCAACGACATCATTTAGAAGGACCGCAACATTGTTCTACTGGACCCTGCTTCTAGTGCTTCTGTTTCAGCATGGACTTCTTCAATAAATTTAGGACTCACAAGTCTTATCTTCCACATGTAAAAGGGAGTCCATAGACCCATAGAAACTAAGAACCTAAGCACCCCTAAGAATTGGCATAAATAATCTGAAGCATCCAATGGAATTCTTTTCTCAAATTATAAAAAAACATCTTTATTAATTTTTTTAACTTGCAACAATTCAAGAGATCGGGATTTGCTAGCAGTACAACCATAAATTGAAGGAAAGAATCAAAAGGCATACCGTGTATTTCCTTAGAAGGCATTTGTCTGCCAAACTTCTGATATCTTTAACATTTTCACTATGAGTATCCTGCAAACCTTTTAGATGGTCAAAGCACATGGTTGATGTGGACTCTATGCGCTCCATAACCTCATGGTCCAATACAAGTGACACTGCAATTCAAAACATGTGGCAATGGGCCATATGAAAAACAGGACAAAGGAGACTTGAAACCTGAAAACTACTTTTTAAGTGAATATAATTACTCTTAGCAGCTGCCTGGAGATCACTGGTTTCAGAGTCAAATTGCACATTGTTTTCAGAGACCACTGATGTGAATTCTTCAAAAATATTTTTCCTTTCTTGGTTCCTTGATCTATCAGAAGAACAAAAAATAACAACAGATAAAAATTACACAAAAGTTTAGTAGACAGAAACTTCCATTTATGGTTAATTCAACTTACACTACAAAACAATCAACTTCTGCAGCTGAATCCTTGTGCATGTGATCTATGGTTGATTGAATGTTCTTCCAATGATGCAAAGACTGACCCACTTTTATTGAACTGCACAAGAAAGAAGTAGGCATGTGGCAGTATTCTTACGAAGGCTGAAGTTCCAGTACAACAAAAACCAAATCTCAGAAGCACACCAGTTCTGAAAAACGTTGTCCATTGTCGTTCTGATCTTCGTGATTGAAGCGGCATCCTCCTGAATCTGACTTTCTACCCTTTCTATGTAATTGATCCATGACTTTTTGGCATTATCAGATGTTAGCTGCATGTTGGCCACCTCCACCTGCTGCCTCCTACTGTCTTCAGCATTTGTGTCATCCACATTTCCTAAAACCTCAGACACCTACTCATAGTTAACAAGAAATGTTATCTTGGTGTCATATTTAATTATACTATATCAAGTTCCAATTGTGTACATTTCACAAACTAAAGAATACTTACCATCTGCAATTTTAATTTCATCAAATTTGTAAATATCAAAGATATTTTTTCAAATGCTGCTTTGTCTTCTCTAGCAGATAAATCCTGAACACAAAACCTGAATCAATTTGAAAGACCTATGTTAACCTGGTGTGCTAATTTTATAATTATCATTTACCACAAAGTTCTTCTCAAATGCAGCTAGGCGGCGTGATTTTTCCAACTGGTCATGTTCAAGATTCTTTAAAAGCTTGGAGACCTGTCTCTGCAATTCATGGAAGAAATGAATTGTTGTCTTGGAGATGGCTTCTGTCGAAACAAGATTTCTTTGCAATCCCTGTTGTTTTCAGGAAATATAAATTAGTCTGGAGCAAGAGCTACAAAATTTAAAGATCAAGCAGTTAGATGACCATCAAGATACAGTGTCAAAAAAAGAGTCTATACCGTCGCTTGTTGCTGGACAAAAAAATCCAGCAAATCCTTTTGTTCAGACAGGGATATTTGAATATCATGCAGAACCTGCTCAGCCTCTGAAGCAACAGTCACAAGAAACTGCAGGGTACAGAGAGTTTGAAGTATTTTGAGGCTTGGCATACATATTCATATTATAAAATATGATATATTATATCCGCCTCATACATTCTCAACAGCGATCATCTGAGCAAACATTGTTGATCTAGTTTCTTCTAGGTCTGAAAAGGCTTTATGTTGTAGCGCACCTGCAAGTTCCTTCATATGCAGGATACCAGAACTGTATATGCTTTTAAGTCTCTCATGTTTCAAATCCAAGCATTTGGCTGCCTGAAAATATCATATATAATAAAAAGCTTGAGTAACACAAACCTTCAATATATACATAAACTAATAGTTTCACATGTTACCTCACATTTGGCTGCAACAAATGAGCTAACATATTCTTCCATGGATTTTAACGATTCATGGTTTTCACAAATTGATCCTATCACCATCCTATGTAATGTTTTGAGATTCTCATCAAGCTCAGAGCCAAAATCAACAACCAAGCCATGGTTTTTTGCTTCAACTTGAGATTGCCGCTCTACAGAGAAGAACAAATTATCATATTAAGAAATATAAGATAGTCCATACATATTTTTTTATTAAGCAGACAGAATGGTACTTGCCTATTTTAGCAAAGAGGAGTGACATGTCCTCTGATGCAATTTCCAGATCACTCCGCAGCACCTTTGCACGTGTAAGAATAGTATTCTCTATTTTGTATTGAAAAAGTTGAATGACTCAGGAGGCAGTTGCTTATACCGAATCGACCAGACTTCTTTAGCTGACTTACCAGAATCTAACAGGTTTGAAATGATATACTCCCTTTCCTTGAGCATCAGATTGCTTCTCATTAAAATTTCTTGCAACTCCAGATAGGCCTTCTTGTTCTCTTCAAGATTTGTCTAAAAATGGAAATTTTGGGCAATTTTATTAATATGTTGTTTTATTAATGTAGCAATCAAGTAAGTAGCAAGCATTTCACCTTGCATTCCTTGAGTTTGCTTTCCAAGTCCAGATTCCTTTCTTGTTCAGCATGGTAAAGTTCTTGAAATCTGTCAGCTTGCTGTCAAAATGAAAGATTATATCTGTGTGCAGAAAAAAAAAACGAGTCTTATTAAGTTAATTAAGAGCATACCTTTCGTGCATGATCCAGATCAAACTCCAAAACGTCTAATTTTTCATGTGTTGCCTGTATCAGCATCCTATTAGATTGACAAGCAACCAAAATAACCGATGGCTACATATCAGACCAAAAACAACATATCAAAAACAAGATTTTCACCTTCTTCTCCGCCTCATCCTGTAAAAATCTTTCTTGGGGAATGTAAATGCCATTTTTCTCCCTTGCCGCTCTTACATCTATGCTAGATCAATCAAATGTATGATAAGTATCCATGACAACAAACAATATGATTGTTGAACTAACAAATCATGATCTAACCTTGTTTTAACTTCTCAATTTCTAGGAACAGATCCTTCAGAAGTACAGACTTCGAAAATTTTTTGTTTGCCTGCAAAAGAAATGGATATCTTTAGTAAATACATAAGAGAACTAGATGTCAGATACACACCAATATCACACCTCTGGCTTGTTCTTGATGTTCTTCGCACGGCATGCATAATCAAGGGTGTTTAGAGTTTCCTCTAAAGAGTGAGCAGATGGAGATATTGTTGCTATTATACAGGTTTTTGCTCTGCCACCTAAAGATTCCCTTAACAACCTTGTCAACTTACTATCCCTGCTTAATGTTAGCTGCATTCAGAACAAACGGAACAGCAGTGGAACTGTACAAAAGCGCCATGAAGCTCAAGATTTCATGTCCAAACCTATAAGGTATGTGGCTAGAATGCTCCGCCAGCGAAGTTATGACACGACCAAGTGTTAACAAGCTCTTGTTCACCTCTCCTGCTTCCCTTGCTCTGCCCTAGGATTGTCATCCGTATATCTAGCAATTAGGGATACTCATGATGCCAACAACTAAAACACCATAAATAGTTAAAAGATTGAGTATCATATTACCTTTACAACCTAAGCAAGACAAAGTGATAATGGTACAAAGCATTGGATCAAACAAAAAATTTAAACTGACCCAACTTAGCTGAACTTTTTAAAAGAATGAGACATAATTAGCACCACTATCTACCTTTCACTAAGGATTTTGCAAATATAGACAAGTAAATACAAGTCTTTGTCACCTATCTTTATCCTATCCCTCCATTGGCGTGATCTCCAGCGGCCAGGAAACTGTAACGAGAACACTCTGTGTGGCTAGTGCTTCCGCCCGTCACCCACCTTCTGACCATCACGCGCCTAAGCCCACCGACATGGATTTGGTCTTTGCACAACACATGCAAGCATACTCCAATCGGTCAAGTCCTCTCCAGCTCATTTATTGTTCCCACCTATCTTGCACTTTTTCTCTGTGGAATCTCTGCCACTGCCTTGCATGTGTACTACCCTGAGCACCAAAGGGGACTTGCTTCTGAGGCTTTGACACCCTTCACTATTCTTTCCTTGTAGTTTCTCATCCTTGATTGGCACTCATCCTAAACAACCCTTGACACGATGAACCACAAGTCTACTGTAACAAAAGTATTCTTGATCTTGGTTTCAGATAACACCATTTGCCTAGTGCAACAAGAAACGACAAGAGAGGATTTGGGCAAGGCTTAACAAATCCTTTGCCATGCTCTTGTTATTATTTTCTTTGATATTCAGGTAATCAAAGAACCTCATCCTTTTGAATTTGGATTTAAAAAAAAAAAAAAGAGGAACAAGCTAATATTTTGAAAAAAAAAAGGAATATAACAAAAAGGAAAACAATGAAAGAGAACAAACAGTTGGAGTGCAGGGATAACAAGAAAGCAAAATACAAGTTCAAGAAAAGACAATTTCTCCACGAGCAAAGAGAATACAAATTAAGAAGAAAGAAAGAACAGGAAAACAAGGACAAAGTTGGAACAATAAGGTGGCAGCAAAAAAAGAAAAGGATTAAAAAAAGGAGTCACGATGTCCTTCTTCCCTGGCTCAACTAATTAAACCCTTCGATTATTTGTTATATATATATATATATATATATATGTGTATGTGTATATATATGTATTTATATATATATGAATATAGAAAGCAAAGACAAATAAATAAAAGGAACATAAAAAATAGAAATACATCTAATAAGTGTGCACACCTTCTGACAAGTCTTATGATGCAGGCACCCAAGCAGACATCATTAAAACCAGAGAATCTTATGAGGGATGGTTACAATTTGAGCTTCTGAAAACATTGTATTTGACTAAGCCTTCCAAAAGTACTAAATGCTACATACATGGTTCTATAATGGGGTCTGCATGGATGGTCATGTAGGCCCTAGTTTTATATATCCATCACATTGTGCTATACAAAACCTTGATCACTGCAGCTGCAACCACTTTTTGGAGCATTTAAATACTTATCTACACATAACTGATGTATATTACTTGTGTAAGTCCTTGAACGTATATAGATATCATTTGTACGTGGAAATTTCATTATTTGACATAGTTGCACTTTTATTAGTTAATCTCGAGTGTAAACTGCACATGCACCAAGTTAAACTCCTGAATGCATTCCTATATCTTTTACAAGCTTGCGTTTAGCATAGAAGTTGCATACTAGTAAGACAATTGCAATCCTTAGAAAAAAAACATCTTTTGTTTTACACAATATTCATAAGCTATCTACTGCTGTAAGATGTTTGTACCTTATATTTGGGATCACTATGATGCCCAAAAAGACTGCAAGCAAACAGCTAAAATCTGCAGTCTGTGTTTGACTCATGTGCTACATCCAAGTCGTGCAGAACAGGATATAATCAACAGGTAGTAATGATTCATGCGAGAAGAAATATTAGCTGACGCATTATGTACCTTAAGGATAAAAAGAAGACATATTAGCTCAAAAGAACCCTATCTGCAGATCAGAGTTGCTTGTTGGTAGTATGAAGTCATAAATTAAAATGAGGACATCTTTCACAAGCATATAGTCAGCTCAAATTCAAGCATGTATCATGATCTGATGAAAATAATTCACAAAACCCATTTCAAGCAACAACTTAGTTCATCAGAAAATCACAGTTGAATCAGCTATAAATAATCACACATAAGAGAACAAAGCAAGGAAGGTAATCAGGACATAATGCTACGTATTCAATGATACAAGAAATAATTCTTATACAAGAAGATGACTGAATTATCATCTCCCGCATATTATAATGTAATAGATAACTTGGAGTAAAACTAAGATTTTGTTGAGTCCAGATGGAGTTCAGTGGAATTAGTTACCTCTCTTGCACCAGAACGGGATATATTTTCTGAGCCAGCCAAATCTACAAGATTAAGCCTGCCACACTTGATAAGTTCATCATTTCCTATGGTTGCTTCTTTCACATGGATTGTGATAGAAAAGACTGAATGCGACCGACTGCCCAAAGAAAAGGGAACCAAGTTGCTGACTACTCCATGCAAATCTTTCCACTGGAGAATAATCAGAAAAAGACAGTAGGGCACCTGCTCTGCTTGTTTAACAGAGTATCTGCTGTCCGTCTCTTGGCAGATCCACGTTCTAGGAGGCTGTAAATTTCATCGACACTGTAAACAGCCACCTCTTCTAAACCTCTTATAACTGCACCACCCTTACCATCTTCCATAAGAGAGATTTGTTTCCTTTGTCTATCTTCTGCAAGTCTAGTTTGCTCTTCGGTAGCTAGCAGATCAGTTATTTCTTCATTGTACAGCTCCAGGAAGGTTACCTTCATACTATAATCGGCCTTCCGGCCCTCTAAAGTATCAAAAATGTGGCGGACAGCTCTTGGAATCACTCCAGCATCGACCGATAGATGTTGACCCTATACTCAAAGAAGCAATCCCTGGCATACAAGTTCAAGTTCTCCTAATTTAAACAAACCAAGTTTGGATCAGTATCATTTACCTTAGGCTTTGCACTTCCCTCCATCGTATAAGTTTTTCCTGTGCCTGTCTGACCATAGGCAAATACAGTGCAGTTGAAACCTTCGAGAACATCATTGACCAGTGGTGCAACAGCGTGGACGTATGTCATTCCTTGTTGAGTTTTAGGTCCAAACACCTGCCGAAACAAGAAAGAAGGAAACCAATGAAAGACGACAGCCATTGTTTCACTTTAATTGGTCAGTAAGTCAAAAAAAAGGAACAAAAATCTGGCATACCTTGTCGAAGGTAAATGTCTTATCGACTTGTTTGTTGATCATGCCTTGTATGACAGTCACCTCGTTCTTCTGTTCGTTACAAGATATCACCTTTTGAACATTCAGCCTTTGCTCGTCATCATTCAATGGCCTGTTAGGTGGTCCATTCAATAATTGGATCTCAAAAACCATCAACAAAGCCAGAAGATCTATAAAGAAAAAGATCTAACTCTCTTTGTTCCACCAAAGGCGTAAGCCTGTTAGAGCTTCATCGCCCTCGAACCATAAACCACACGACACATGAACCAAAAGAAAGCATCTCTTAGTCATAAACCGCAAGCAACTATGAAGAATTCATAGCAGTTGTGATTCTAAGATCTAATCTCCCAACAGGATAGCGCGAAAGGAGTACAAAAACGACTGACCTGCATCTGAGTACGACTTGAACATTGACCTCCTTATCTTTGTCATGCCGGTTGGAGGTCGGGCCACCGTCAGCCCACCTGAGGTCCAGCTGCCGCTTCTCGGGGCGAGGGGTCAGAAAAGGAGACGGGGTCGGGGGTAACGGAAACCCGAATCTCCGATTGGGAGTCACGGACATGATTCCAGCAGCAGAGAGCCTCTCCTCTCCGCAATCCTTAAAAACACACCAATCACACGAGCGCATTTACTTGAATAAGCCGTCAATCTCAATCTAAAGAACAATTTAGGAGAAAGAAAGAAAGAATCACAAGATTCCGGAATCAGAAACGATGGAGCATTCGAGAATTCTTACCTGATCGCCGGAGATCCGAGCTATGCTCGAGAATGGGGAATGGGATCGAGCAGATCTGGACTCGGGATTTTGGAGGGCTTTCGGCGAAAAATTTGAACTTTCAAAAGACGACGATTCTATCGCTCCGTCGGAACCAAGTAACAAGTTTCATGTCGTCTACGTGGCGAACGACTAGTGGACAAATTTATTGGGATAACACAAATTAGCTATTGAACTACCAATGGAAGGATGGGCTTAGAAGGAGCCGGCGGAGTAATTCGTGCTCAGGTCCTTTATACAGAAAACCCTTTAATTTGATTATTTATTTGAATTGCAATTTCATACGTACGTTTCAGAGAAGTTTTAACTCAGTCGACTCCAAAAAAAAATTAAAATAAAAATTACATAAACCTAATAGTCTTTTAAAAAAAATTAATATAAAAAATAAATAAATGATAAAGACGGATTTGATCTCAAAACATTATGGAAAACTATCAAAGTCTTTATTAACTAAGCTGACTCACGTCCTTAAAAATATATTAAAATTTGATAAAAAAATCTAATATATCATCGTCTTCAAAGATATTTTAGTCCTAAAAAATACCAAAGCAGAGCTCTCTTTAGGTTAACAAACTCTACCAAATTGAAGTAATTTAACTCAAAGATAACTCAGGTTACAATCTAAATGCCTTTTATCATAGTCAAGGCTTCATAGTAGTTTGGTGACTGCTCCATGAAAGACCTACCACCAGCAACAAGTTAGCATCTCAAATCGAGAGAGAGAGAGAGAGAGTTATGATGGAGCTAAAATTAAGATGAAGGCTTCAGTTTGGCTCATTTCACATGCTAATGATTTGCATCATTAGCACTCATTACAATCCTCCCTCCTACTTCCTGTCTGCGTCTTGTATTGTAGTGCAGTTGTCATCTTAAAATTGTGTAGAAATGATGCACCTGACTTGACGATGGAGAGGAAAGCGTGTGTCTAATTCATCTCGTCACTTCTTGACCTTCGTGTGTATTATATGCAGCAATGCCAAGTGTGAATAATATCTGTTTTTTTCTTTTTTTATCATAACTTTAATAAAATAGAGATTAATCATTTATTATATGATATATCATAGTCACTTCTTGAAGATTGAGGATTTACCATCTGATCACATAAATTTGGTTTGACGAAATTTATTTATTTTAATATTAGCATGATGATTTATCAAAATCTACTACTTACATGAAAATTTAAAATCAATTTATACCAAAAATATTAGCTAGACAATTATAAATATATATTCTTAGTTTTATCTTTCTTTCTTCTTAATTCTTCGTACATCTTTCTTCTTCACATTCAAGAATATATATCTTTAAGAATCTCTCATATACGAAGATCGAGAATTCATCTTGGGACAAAAGTCACTATTGATCTATATAAAAAATTTTATGTCCATTATCTTTTTCTTCCCTTCTTCAATGCTGTAATAATGAAGTTATGCAGGAAGAAGCAATAACCGGGACACCTCAACATCCTTTAGTCATTAAGCAGTCACCATCTTCCACTTAATTAGACCAAGTCATCATCACACCCTACTAAACAAGCTATATTTTTATTTACACCTCGGTGATTCGTCTTGAGGGGTACTAAAACCTAACCTTTGCTTCGACAAGTGAGACTTCTCCTTCTTCTTCTTCTTCCCTTTGCGTCACACTGGCCATTTGTATTCGAAGGCACGGCACGTCTTCACGGAAGTGTTGGTTCCCTATGTATTGGGGTTGAATGAGAGACGGCAGAGGAGACCACTTCATGCATCGAAGGTGTCATCAAGAAAGGCACCAAATCAAAGGTCTTGAATTAGACCATAAGCTTGTCCCTTCAAAAGGCACAACCACCTCCCCAACTTAGGTGCCTTTACTTATTCTTCCATCTTAAACATGGGATATGGTACCATCCTCCTCATCTTTCTAATCCTTTCAAGTCCTATCAGCTATCATTTCATGGAGGCAAAGCATGCGACCTTTTTTTTTATTTAGAAATTCATATATATATGTATATATGAATTTCTAAATAAAATTATCTGTTTAGAAGATGTCTCTTTTGGTATTTCCCAAAAGATATTTTTACTTGTTATAATTTTTAATTTTTTTTTCTAACAAAACAATTGGAATAGCATTTGATTATAGCTATGAATCATTCCATGTGGTGAATTAGTCCAATTCATATGTATAATATTTATATTTATCTTTGTTTCTTCACCAAAATATCTTAAGCCTATTCAAAAATACTAGAATTGAGGTAAATAGACTCAAAAGCTAATAAATATTAGTTCGTATACAAAAATATGATTTCAGATATGTATTTTTGTTAATTTAGAAATATAAATAACTAAATAAGAAGACTATAATGTTTTTGAACAGACTTGTGATATTTTTAGCATCTTCAACAAAACACTATAGTCTATTTAAAAACATTATATCAGTTCATCTTATAATTAGTCCATATATTATTATCAGTAAATAATGTCCTAATTATCTTTCCATGGAGGTATTTCAGGAGTTGTAGCAAATCAGATACATCCTTTGAGAAATATTAAAAGAGGCAGCATATCTTGAAATAAAAAATTTCTTAGAACTCATTATGAGATTTAAGTTAAAAAAAATAGTTTTCATTATAAATATAAACAAATAATATATATTATTTATTTATATTTATAATGAAACTATTTTTTATTTTTTAAACTTTAATCTCATTAGTGACAAGTCTAATAATAAGACATTTACATGGAGAAGAAAGTTCCGATATCATTACCATAAAACACATTTAATCTTCTTCATGGGTATCTCAGTATATTTGGATTTGCTAATACGAAGCATTCGGATTTGGAGCTTGTTCTTCACTGGCCAGCAGATCTCCAATTTGGACAGCTCTCTTACGCGTCTAATATTATACATCCACTACTGTCTGCCACGTGTTTGTGTTATCTATTCAACTCCATCCACTTTCCTTTCCCACGTGTGTCTGGAGCGAGCGACCGAGCAGGAGAAAACCATCTTCCACTGGTTCGTAGATTGGGCCCCGCAGTATTACAGCGGGACCGACTGGGCGAAACCCAATCCCTAGCGAGTCTGCAGTGTCTGGTCGCTGGGTCTAAAGAAACAGGAGCTGCACCCGTTCACCACCTAAAAATATCTCACCGCTGTCGCACTGCGTTACTATTTTTTATTTGTAGCTGCAGCGACGCGGTGCTTGCAGTCACCGCGAGTAATAATAAACCACATACCTTAGTATTGGATTAAAAGCACATATTTATATTGATACTCTCTAATACTACCTTAATGCAAATACATGATGTTTGAGATTGGTCAGAGTTTTATTGGTACATCACAAAGAATTCTGTGCCATGTTCTGCTAATATCAAAAATATAATAATGGACACATGGCAGCTCATTCAAAATCTCCATGCTAACTTTGACCAAGTGTTATAGTCACATGAAAAAGTCTGCTCCATAGTCTTGTCTTGTTCTTTACAGATAGTTATTTATTTATAATTTTAAAAGTATTTATTTTTATAGGAATAATTCATATGCATATATGTATGTATGCATGTAAATGAATTTACAGAAATTTTATCTTTTGCAGAATATATGGACATATATAGTATGAAAATTTGTAAATAATTATTCAACTAATGCCATGACAAAAGCTTCCCTTTTTTGCCGAATGCGGTACCTTCACCGGTGGGTGACTTGATCTGCAATAAGTTACGCTTGCTTATTACCTTAAACCGATGAGATTAGTGAACAAAACCTCTCAGCAGCCTCTCTCGTCTTCCTCCCCTCCCTTGTCTCTCCTCTGCTCCCGCTCCTCCTTGTACGCCCGTCCGGTGCTTGGAGAGAGAGAGGGGGGACGAGCGGCACGGGATGGGCCAGGGGGTGAGCTGCGCCGGGTCGAGCTACGAGCATGGCTTCTTCAGCGCCGTCCAAGATGGCCACTTGGAGACAGTGCGCAGCGCCATCGATGAAGATCCATCGTTGCTCCGCCGCGCCACCATCTACGATCGCCTTTCCGCACTCCACATCGCCGCTGCCAATGGGCGCGTCGAGGTGAGAATCCCGTGCCCGAAGACATCTCCTTTTTCCGCACTTCCGTTTCTTTATTTGTAATCTATGGAAACATGTGCAGGTCTTGACGTTGGTGCTGGAAAAATACGGAAATCCTGATATAGCTAATCGGCATAAACAGGTGGGGATACCATATACACTTGATCTTTTCTTCCTTTTTCTTTCGGCAATATGGTGAAATATCTGATTTTTGCGGGATCTGGTTGTACTCTAGACTCCATTGATGCTGGCTGCGATGCACGGAAAGATTGCCTGTGTGCAAAAGCTACTCGAGGCCGGGGCAAATGTGAGCCCAAGATTCTATCTTTTTTTCATCTAAAGATTGTTTTTTGGTTGATCTGTTCGCTAAAAGGATTCAATCTAGTGGGAGGATGATCTGGTTTTAGTTTCGTTTGGTTTAGATTCTGATGTTCGATTCGCTAAATGGAAGAACTTGCCTTCATCATGCTGCTTATTATGGTCATTCAAATTGTCTTCAAGCCATTATATCCGCTGCCCGATCAACTGGCGTCGCTGATTCTTGGTGGGTTCTTTTGAAGTCACTAGTCTCGTTGTTGATTGATGATTTTTGGCATTCTTTAAGATACTAAACCGTCTTCTGATCGTTCCATGTGTATGTTTGATGAAACTACAGGGGATTTGCCCGGTTTGTAAATGTTAGAGATGACAATGGGGCGACGCCTTTACACCTTGCAGCAAAGCAAAGACGGCCGGATTGTGTCCACATTCTTTTAGACCATGGAGCTCTTGTTTGTGCTTCGACTGGTGGTGGATATGGGTATGTTTATGACTTCATTGATTTTTTCTTTCAAGCACATGACCTACTACCACAAGCTGTGTGTTTGGAGTTTGTGCCATGAACTAATAGACTCCGATCCCAGTTATCCTGGGAGCACCCCTCTGCACTTGGCAGCTCATGGAGGGAGTTTGGATTGTGTTCGCAAATTGCTTGCATGGGGAGCGGATCGGCTTCAAAGGGATTCAGCTGGGTGAGTAAGCTGTGTCCTTTGGACCTTTTTCTATACCCTTGGAGAGATCCGAACTAATAATTGCCTGGTGTCCAAATGGGTTTCTAAACAAATTGATCACAGAATTAATTTTGAATTCTTCATCCAATATCTTGCTCTAGACCCTTTGATTAATCGACTTATTTTGCTGTGTGTTATCTGACCAACCATGCAGTTTCAGATTTCTAGGAATCAGCAGCTGGACCATTAGATTTATCATATATATTAATATATAGAAATACAAAAAGTTGACCTAAGAGATCTAATACCCGCAGCTTATCTCACTGATATTCTAGCTATGAAATGAATCATTTTTAATAAAGAAAATGATAACATTTCTTGATCTTTTAATAACAAAATTGTTATATATTAGGACTTGTTTATTAATTTTTGTAGGTTATTTGGCTATTAGTTTGGATGTTAGAAATCTTTGGTGAATTCAAAATCTACCAATATTTTTCAATATACTAGGATATTAGACTTTTGTCTGTTTATCATCATTTTGCTGATTTCTGTTTGTAGGCGAATACCGTATGCTGTTGCCCTCAAGCGAAACCATGGAGCTTGTGCAGCTCTTCTAAACCCATCAGCAGCCGAACCACTGGTTTGGCCTTCTCCATTGAAGGTAATCAGTGAACTTGGTCCAGACGCAAAGGCTCTGCTAGAGGTTGCTCTAACGGAGGCTAATAAGGAAAGAGAGAAGAAGATCTTGGAGGGAACAAAATATTCATTGTCACCGCCTGCACATTGGGATGCAGCAATTCCTGATGATAGTTCTGAGGTATGGCAACTTCCTGATTGGATTCATATGCAGCAATGTGTATCCATGTTTGCTAGTGATAATGATTATTAGCAACAGGTACAATTGGTGGCAGGCTGATAGTTTTTTACACCTACAATTGTTGCTTGGCTTTAAGTTTATGGTGGTGCTTAAGTTGCTGGTGGAAATTTCTTTATGCTTCCTTTGGTTAGTTTAAGGTGATAACATTGTATCATTAGTTTAAACATGATTCTAATTGTCAGGTTATACCTACTTGTTTTATGTTTACTGTAATCTTGATGACGAGCATCTGACATTGCTTACAAGTTGATATTTGTACTTTTGTCTACATCATGTCATCCTACTACATATCTTTGAACTGTTCAATTGTCAATAAAACCTTTTTGTATTGTACTAATTTCTACTGTAGATCTTGTGCTAATACGATCTTTTCTACTGTAGATCTTATAGACAATTTTCATATTATATTTCTTATAGTCAAGAGGGCACGAAGTCAGAATTTGTTTTAGATTCAATTAATGTGGGGGTAAAAATCTTGCAGGCGAGTGATACAGAGCTTTGTTCCATTTGCTTCGACCAAGTCTGCACTATTGAGGTCAAAGACTGTGGGCACCAGATGTGTGCTCATTGCATGTTGGCTCTTTGCTGCCACAACAAGCCAAATCCCACAACCTTGTGCTTGCCTTCACCATCATGCCCCTTCTGCCGCTGCAACATTGCCAGATTAGTGGTCGCCAAGACACATGACAAAGATGAAGGGGAAAAAGGCACCACCTCTAAGCTAAGGAGGTCAAGGAGGTCCCATAACTTTAGTGCAGAAAGTAGTAGCTTCAAAACTTCGGCTATGGGATCATTTAGTAAGATGAGCCGTGGCACTGGGTGTATTACTGATAGCGAGGACATGGTGGACAAGCCTTGATAATTGAATTGCAGTTCACATAGCTACCAGATTTGAAATCTCCAATAACTGCTGTTGAGGGAATCGATTGCTTCTGTAGATTCTTGCATTCTGAAAAGCAAAAGCAGTCTTGTGTTGCCAGTTCTCTCTGCCAGCAAGTTTGAAGCTTATGGTTCTTTTGGTTGTTATATGTACACATCTGGTTCCGGTGAGTTTGGATCTGTTTCTTAGGCTAAAATTCACAATCTTTGGAAGGTAAACCATATTCAAGTTTGAAGAAGTTGTAGGCCTGTCCATCTACTTTGCAGCATGATGGACATGTAAATTAGCATTTCATTTTCAAGTTGCTGCAGGCTTGCCTGTCTGCTATGTGACACAGTAGATGTTGTGATGTGATGATGTAAAATTTATTACATTTGCAAGTTGTTTGGGGGTGTTGGCTATCATGCGACTGTTTTCACATAATTGAGCATGAAAATGCTTGTGTTGTTCAGTAGTCCTTTTAATTTTTGTCTATAGTGTCCAAGATGTCAATTTTTGCTTGTAGATCTGGATGTTGAGGTGGTTGGACTCTGGGATTTCTTCATCATGATGATGATGATATGGGCACAGTCATGAGGAAAGAAGCCAAAGAATTGTCTGTTTCCTGGAGAGCATGGCACCTATTCATGTGGCTTGAGACTTGCCATGCAGGTGCCCTGTCTATTGTGAGAGCTACCAAGTCACCAAATGGGGGATAGCTCTATCTTGAGAGCTACCACCCCTCAAACACCACCCCCCCCCCAAAACACCCACCTCTTCACCTTTCTTAACATGGTTGCAGCCCTCTCCTCTCCAATTACTCATGGGTGTGAAGGTGATGATGTTCTTCAACAGGAGAGGGGATGTCACAAAGGTCCACTTGATTAAGCTGATAGGAGGGGGTTTGGACTGGTGGGTGGTAGGTCAGAAGTTTGACAAAAAGCTGTGAGAATATTACTAGACAACCTATCTTCAACATCCAAACTGTTCACTTGCTGAGCTCTCACTATCACTTCTGATGTACTGTGACATGCTTTTGCATCATCAATTTTCTTCCCTTTCTTCCCCCTCTGTTAGCTATAAATTAATACAACCTTTCAAAATATCTATCTGACACAACATCATATGAGTTGGCAAAAGTGATCTGCTGCAGGTTGGCAGTAGATCCAACATATTGCAAAATCATGGACTCCTACATATGATTTGTGATTGTGAAAATGACATATACAATGCATAAATCTTTCATCAATGCAGGATTTAATAAGGGTCAGTGTGTATGCAATCTTACCCTTGAAGAGATTATCTTTGTCACTCAAGGCTTGGCCTCCCAGGCTGCAGAGTAGCAGTCCTACTCTGAGGTTGCAAAGGTTGCTCCTTTGAATAATTTAAAGAAGCAATCTTTCAATATTTTGTGATGGTGCTAAAACAAAACCTTAATATTTTTCAAAGTGTTTGTATCAGATGCAATCCTTTACCAGTAGTTATAAAAGATATATATATAATATTTAGTGCTACTTAAGGAGAAATAGCATTCATGATAAAAGTCGATACAGCTCTGCTTATACTCCTCTTATTTAGATTTGGCCATGCCCTCTCACATATGATATTAAATGTCACTTAAGAAGTAGAGCATGGCCTCCATTGGCTCTTGAAAGCCTCAGTTACAGCCGCAGCAAGCACAGCTGCAGCTGCTACCGCAGTTGCATTTGTTGCAGTCGCAGCCTCCACTCTCAGACCCGTCCGCCACCTCGTGCCCATCAATTCGCCTGCAAAATCCAACTCATTTTAACAGGACAGACAGCAGAAGCATTACATCTTTATGTAGATATACGTGACAACTCAAGAACTAGAATCATTTCTGTGTTGCACTTAAAAGCAGATGTTTTAGAGGACTGCAAGATCTCCTTTTCTTTCATCGTTCGCTTGGAATTATGATCTTTTGTTGTATGCAATGCAGATTAAGTTTTAGGAGTAAGATCAAAGACCCTTTCTGGGTTGCGGCGCCAAGGTCGACGATTCCTGCAGTGTTGGTGCTACGCTCCCCGCCCAAGTCGGCGTACATCTTGCAGCTGCATTTAGAGAAGAGCATGAGCATTCATCGGAGCATGGAAAGATGATGACGATATCGAGAGAAGATGACAACAGAACAGAGAGCGGTGATCGCTACCCTCCGCAGCCACTGCCGCAGTTGCAGCCAGAGACGCATCCGCAGTTGCCACCACAGCAGGACATCTTCTCAGAAGCACTCACAAGATGGGATCCTCGAGGCTCTGTCTCTGGCTTATGTTGGTTGGAGGCGAATGCCTCCTCTTTTTATAGGCACAGAAAAACCGAGGGTTCTTTACTGTAGTGGAAGGCAGCATCTTCACACTTTATTAAAAATGAGTATATAAATAGTAACTAAAGTTGAGTGATTCGATTAATTAGATAAGATATCTTATATATTTAATTAGATTTTTATTATGATTATAAGATAATAAAAATAAAATTTATTTATGATAAAATTTCTTAAGAAACGACGAGCTACTCTCTTAATCACTTATCATAAATCATTTGCTCTCGTGTATAAATAATTATGACCTCTTAGTTACTCAATATGTTATATTATAATATAGATTGAGAGATTACATATATTTTCTTATCTCCTAGTCTTTGTTTCATCGTTCATAATAGTCTTATGAAGAATATGTTAAGATGAATAGATAAATCTAGTTTTTATTGTAGATCAGTATCACTGTTTTCTTCGAATCAAATAATAGTATACTTACACATCAGATAAAAGACTTTTCTAAATGATATCAAAAGATTTATAATCTTGATCTTGATATATCATTATTTAATTTTGATTCTGACATTAAAGTTTGTTCACATAACAAAAGCATGATTATAGTTTTTATACTTATAATTGGTATCAGAGCCTATTATTTTGAAATCAAATAACTTAGATTGTAAAAGTATATCAAAGTTATTTTATATTTAGATATATTTATTAGCACTCTTTACTTACTGTGGGCAATGACGAATGAATGTGTAGGTGGTAGTGTTGCGTGTTGTGATTGTTGCTGAGGGAAGCGATGGCACTGCATTACCATCATGGGCAATGATTATCTAGGGTAGTGTCACTATTGTATGTAGCGGTACTACTGTGTGTACCAATAATGGCTTTTAACAGACAATGACAGCAAAAGTGCTACAATGATTGTGTGCACAACAGTCATGGCTTCTGGTCAGGGCTAATTATTGTACGTCGAATGACTACTACAAAGAGAGCATCATTGTATCGAGATATGGCGATGGCTAAATTCCAAGGATAGGTGGTGATCGCTCAAACATTGCAGAAGGATGCTATGGCGGGAAGGCGGTGGCGATAGTTTGGGTGTTGCTCCAAGTGATAATTGTGTAAGGCTAATGGCATCACCGGAGGTCACATGGCTTGTGATAGTGAGTCTTGGTGCCTATGTTCGTGATCGATGATATTTGCTGCCTTATATACAGTCAATGAGGACCCACAGATATGGGCACGATTCAATACAATCGTGATTGTGAGAGAAGGTTTTAATGTTTAGGTTTCACTAAATAAAAATATTTGCTTACCTTTTAGAAATCAAACAATTTGAATTTGTGTCCTTTAGTTCATTTTAACCCTTTAGAAATCAAATAATTATAGTTATCATATAAGTTTTCTTTTATACTGATTAATATTTAATAATTATTATGATTATTTATTATGATTATTAAATTATTTCTACATAAATTAGATTAAAAAATTTTAGTGAATATTATTTATAACTTATATCCCTAAGTTTTATCTTAGTAGTAGTAGTTGCCAAAGTAGCTTAAGACGGTAGATTTATGAGATACGAACTATAATAAATATTTTATCATTTATATGACATTTTAAACTATATTTTATATTATCATATTGGTTTTCTAACCGCCAAAGTGACATAGTGTTGCGAAATCGTGGGTCAGCATCTCATGCATAGCGAAAAATAAAATCAAAATCGGATTTCTTAAAGATAAGTACTTGGTCATTGTGTGACGATTGGTGCGTAAGAAAACCGTAAAACCAAAAAATTACACGTATTATATTAAAAGTGTTACTTGGGGAGATCATATATTTCTGAAATTTTTAAATCCAATGGAGTGGATGAATGAGAACTTGCGTACTCCTCTCTAGCAGTGATTCATATTGCAAACATTGCTATGACGCTCCTCAGATCACTACAGGATCTCCTTCTCCATACGCACTATAAGGCTACCAGTTTCGATGAGGAGAGGAGGTTGAGGAGAATAGGAGGAGCGACCATCAGAAGTTCTAGACTATGAGCAATAAGGTTTTTCCTATTTATAGAGATGCAAGCAGCTTAACCCTTAATGAATCATATTCTCATTGGATCTCTATCTAATTATCTAATTGGATATCATCTAGAGGATCCAAACTAACGATTCTGCGGGTATCTTATATCTGCATATTTACTCGTCACAACATCCACCATATGTGTGTAACCTTCTAGGCTCGATACCGAGCTGGCAATGAGTCGATCCTATCATAATTTATTCTGATTCAGAACTCCTACTGATATAGGGAATTATTATCTTCATAATAATTTACTCAACTCATCGACTATGGTCATAATAGGCTAATATGCCATAGCCTCTAAACGATATAGAGGAGATCTAATTTATTGGATATGTCTGTCCACAGTTACCATATGTCTATAATACCTCATCCATCTGATATCCTAGAGATGGTATATTAGGCATGGTAACATTAGGCCCATACAGAATCTTATCCGAGTCTCACTCTAATCTGATTCTCTATGAGAACTTTTTCTCTCTCAATCCGAACAATCCTAACTAGGGATTTTATTTGAGAAAGCATACACAGGATATTCCTCTCGCGATACTGAGAGTGGATGATCCTTTATTGACACTCAATTGCCTTTGTAAGGTTGGCTATTATTCCCGAGAATCGGTTGTACCAGATCTGGAACTTCCAAACTAAGTTCGACGTCAAAGAATGAAGTGCTCATACAAGACATCTTTAGTATCTCAAATCTAAGGGCCAGACACATAATTGAAATTACGAAATTGATGTCTAACGTTAGGTATCATTAACCATCTAACATTCTGTAAGATCAATTAGTGAACTCATTTTCTAATGAGTACTTGCACTGTACCTCTAATGTTCCCACACAAGTGATTATGAGACCAATCACTTCTATCATATGGACGAGTATATAGCACACCAATCTATCCGATTATCTCGATGTCTTTCTTGAGTAACCTATGACCGGGATGATTTAAGATCTGTGTTTAAAGACGAATTAGTCTCATTATTATGATTTCATCACGATCTAATTCTCATTACATAGATATAAGGACATCACAATATACATCCAGATAATATGTAAAAATATGCCAATAATAATAAGCAAAGAGATCATCGTAACATGTCACAAATGCCATCACTTACGTGATTAACTTGTAGGGCACCTATAACTAACACATAGACTATTAACTTATAAAATTATATTAAAAAATTAGTTTTAAATAATATTAATAAAAATAAATATTCATAATGATATACAAAATTAGAAGATTTAGATAATCTGAAAGAAAAATATATTTCAAATAATTATATGATGGAGAAGGATAATACTGTTTTAGATATCCTTACAATCATAGTTGTAACATAAATGTAACAATACAATTCCATAACAATGATATTAGTCCTCCATAACTAATTTTGAGTAAACACCGAATATATCAATATTTTTGAGTGAAATATAGATGATATCAATAGTTTATCATATTTTAAAAACTCAAAATATTAATATTGATTTATATTTTATAATGATACTTTCTTCCATATACTCTTATACTTATAGTGTCCCTATAGTTTTTGGATTAATTAATTCTAAACAGCTTGAGCATAAGTAATTTACATTATGTGTGAAACTTTGGTTAGACTAGTTGAAATGATCATAGACATAACTATTGAAAGTTATGTTGAACAAATAATTAAAATAATATCTAAAAGGTTCAATTTTATGACAATTATGACTTCATTATAGTTTATAAATAGTATACTAAAATATATAAATATTAATTTAAATTTACTAATAAATCATTAGTTGACATCTTAATGAAAGAACTGATTGAAATTAGTATGATGATATTCAAGAAATTTAAGATTATATCCTTAATATGGCTAATAAATCTATAAAGCTCAAGAACATCAAGCATAAATATAATTGAGTTATTTCTCATATAATTTATGCTTAATTTTATTATTTTTAGTTTATCTCATTTAAAATTTACTATAATAAAGTTAAAGATAAGTGAAATCTAAATGAGCTAACTAATATATAAATTTAGAAATAATTAAGATTAAAATAAGAAAGACTCACAATATTTCAAATATTTCTCAAAAATTGGGTAATAATAAAAAAAATGAAACATAAATCATATGAGTATAAAATATTATATAAATTATAATCTTTACAGTAAAATACTATTTTTGTAATAAGAAAGGTCATGCGAAAGAGTATATGGTTTAGCTTAAAATGAAAATATATAAGTCTAACCTTTGTAAGTTTCGAATCAAATATTACAAAATTCCTTTTTTAATACTTGATTAATTAATTCTAATATTTCAACTTATGTTACTAATAATATAGATTCATTTTAACATAAAAACTAAAAAAGTATGAAATATTTATTGTTATAGTGAATCATCTTAAAGTATTGGTATTTTCATATGATTATGTGAATTACATCTCATTGCGTTTTATATTTATATTAGTTGGAAAAATAATTTATAAAAAATAAAATAATATATCATTGCATTATCAACAATAAAAGTTGATTTTGTGACATACTTTAAAGCCACAAATCAAGTCTTATGATAATAAAATTTTATCTTAGAATTTTGTATAATTAGATTCAATTATCAAGTTATTGAAGATACTTTGTGATATATCATAATAATTTTTTTAAGAATAACAAACATTCTAGCATTCTATACATTATGATATAATTACTTGATGGTTAGAGAAAAAGTTCAAAAATAATTGATATTAATTAAGAACTTAAGTTCCACTATATTAATTGTTAATCCATTCAGTGAGGCCTTATAACTTAAAGTATTTTAAAAAAATATTATTATAATTAGGCTTATGAACAACTTGTAAAAATATGATGATACATGTTTGAGTGAATATTATAATTGATATTTTTTTCTTGCATAATTAAGATTATTTATTTTTACTAT